GTCAGGGGCTTCACATTGCACTTAAGATAAAGATAAGATTTTCAACATGGCCAGTATGACTATACTTAACAAGTCTTGCCAGCTTCATCTCATAGTTCATTCTTCCTTACTCTGTGTGCCAGCAGCATTGGCCGTTCCTCAGTTTCTCCAATTCACCCTGCTCCCTTTCATCACAGGGCTTTGCACACCAAGTTACCTTATCCTGAAATATTCTCTGCCTAGTTAATCCTATTCTCAGTTCAATTGTCAGTTCATCAGGAAAACTTCCTTGGCTTTACTGATTACACGAATTGATTTTATAATACTATGTATCCTCAATTTGAATTATACTATGGTGGTAATTTTACTTTTGTTTACTATTATTTCCATATTACAATGATTCTGTCTGTAAGCTCCATTGTATTGCCAGTGCTAGCACAGTGCCTGGCACAAAGTGGGTGCAGTGCAATGGGTCACTTTTGTGTGGTCTTGCATGCCGTGGTCTTGTAGCTCCTGCCCAGGCAATAGGGTGGGATTGTACAAGCTGGGTAATTGTGGCCTACCAAGGGGATCAGTCAGTTTTGTCATCCTGATGGGCTTGAAATGAGCCATACCAGGGGTGGGAAGGAGAGGATCCCATCACCACCAGGGAAAAACAGCTAAGAGCGGAGCTCACCCTTTGGACCTGGGATCCCTGCGCTGAGAAGCTCCTGGAACCAGGAGACTGACAGAGGGAGAGTGGAGAGAGAGAGAGAGCTGTAACACTGAAGATGGTGAGATGCATTAGCAGAAAAATGGTGTGGCAGGAGAGACCAGCAGGAGACAGCACGTTGGGCTTCCTGGACCAGGGAGCAAGAAAGCTTAGTGCCTTTGGGCAGGAGGCTTGCTGGAGGAGCAGGTGTCTCCAGGCACTTATTGACAGAGCTAAAAGAGCTTTGTAACACTTGCCCGAGCAGGGCAGAGGCCGAGGATGAGGGAGAGGCCTGCTTGCCAGCTCAGATGGGAAGAAGCTGTCCTGATGGAAGAACTGCATCCTGAGCGTTTCTGAACCTGAATTGTAACCTGTTACTTCCCTAATAAACCCCATAATTGTGCGTATTGTCTGTAAGTTCAATGTGGCCATTACAAATTATCAAACCCATCAGAGAAGTAGAGAGTGTCATGGGAGGGACAGTTGGTGTCAGAATTGGTAAAGATGGTGAAGAGAAGAGGCATGTCTGACCTCTGCCTCATAGGAATCAGCCTGGAGCTGTTGATCTTGATTTTCCTTCCCCCTTGTGAAGTCAGAGGAGATCAGATGCCACCCCCACGTTGATTTTACAGTGGGCATGCAATAAATATTATTGGAAAAATGAAGGAAAGAAGGAAATAATGAAGGCTGTGAGGGAGGGACTCTCTGGGTAGTATAAACAGTTAATGTGCTCAGCTGCTAACTGAAAGGTTGGCAGTTCAAGTCCACACAGCAGCTGCTTGGAAGACAGGCCTGGCAATCTACTTCTGAAAAATCAGCCATTGAAAAGCCTATGGAGGAACCAAAATAAACAGTATTATCCAGCCCAAGAGAGAAGGATGTTTATATTGACGAATTTGACATATATAATTCGGCAACATCAACAATGACCAAAACATGAGTGTTATGGTCACATATATATGTGTATAGGCATACAGGTGTATGGGTAGGTACAGGTATATACATACATGTGCACAGATAGAAGTAACTATCTATATGTATAAGTAAAGATATATGTGTGCAGGCATATATATTCATAGAGGACACAATTACAGATACCTCTCAGACAAAATCAAATACCTTAAGAGATTGGTTTTCTCGGTTTGAAGGTTTAGGACCTTAGTGTCATGGGACAACTCATTCAACTGACATAATATAGTTCACAAAATTCTTGTTCTGCATCCTAATGAGGTGAATAGCCTCTTAAAAGCTTGCAAACAGCCATCTAAGACACAACTATTGGTCTCTACTCACTAGAAGCAAAAGAGAAAGAAGGAAACCAAAGTCTCAGAGAAGAAACTAGTCTACAGGGGTAATAGTCTTCACGACCCACGGCCTCATCTACCCTGAAACAAGAAGAACTAGATGGTGTTCAGCTATCACTACTGACCATTCTGATAAGGGCCACAATAGCTGAACTCTGATAGAATGGGAGAAAAATGCAGAACAGAGCTCAAATTCTTAAAAAGTCCATACTTGCTAAATTAACTGAGACCAGAGAACTGCCTCGGACTACTGCCCTGAGATACTTTTCAAACTTTGAATCGAAACTGTCCTGAGGCCACCTTTTAGCTAAATAGCAGAGCGACACACAAAATAAAGGATAGAAGCCATGTGTCTGGCAGTCTGTCGTACCCTGGGGGCTTGCGTGTTGCTGTGATGCTGGAAGCTATTCCACTGGTATTTCACATACCAGCAGGGTCACCCACGGTGGACAGGTTTCAGCAGAGCTTCCAGACTAAGATACATGAGGAAGAAGGACCTGGCAGTCTATTTCTGAAAAAACGGGCCAGTGAAAACCTTATGAATAGCAGCAGAACACTGTCTGATATAGTGCCAGAAGGTTGGAGGGCACTCAAAATACGACTGGGGAAGAGCTGCCTCCTTAAAGAAGAGTCGACCTTAATGACGTGGATGGATTAAAGTTTTCGGGACCGTCATTTGCTGATGTGGCAAGACTCAAAATGAGAAGAAGTAGCTGACACACTGGCTGCAACAGTGGGCTTAAACATAGCAACGATTGTGAGGATGGTGTGAGACCAGGCAGGGTTTCGTTCTGTTGTACTAGGGTTGTTATGAGTCACAACCGACTTGGTGGCACCTAACAGCAACAATAAGCCATGGCTATAGTGCTCTTAAAAAAAAAATGTATATGAGGCCCAAAGGTCAACAATTACTCTAAAGCAAAGATGAGACAACAAGGGGGTGGGGAAACTAGAGTACCAGAAACAAAACAAACAGAAGATAGTGAAAGAGAATGTTGACTTATTGCGAAAAATGTAACTAATGCCACTGAATAAATTGTATAGAAATTGTCAAATGGGGACCTAATTTACTGTGTAAACTTTCACCAAAAACACAATAAAATATTATTAAAACAAAGCAAAAAAACCCCTATGCAACACAGTTCTACTCTGACACACAAGGGATTGCCATGAGTCAGAATCGACTACAGGGCAACTGTTGAGGAAGGGAGGAAGTGAAGAGAGAATGAAGGAATGAATGTTCACATTTATGTACTATTTCAGAATCACTTGAAATAGGTCAACCCAACATGTAATGGGAAAACAGACTATCAGCATTCACTTATAGTATTCAGTAAATACTTATGCATTCAATATTCGAGTAATTCATTTATTTCTGATTATGAACATTTGAAGACTTAGGTGCATCTGAATCCAACATTGGTATTTTCAGTTGCCTCATGTGCATGTGAAAGCTGGACAATGAATAAGGAAGATCAAAGAAGAACTGATGCCTTTGAATTATGGTGTTGGCAAAGAGTACTGAATTTACCCTGGACTGGGAGAAGAATGAACAAATCTGTCTTGGAAGAAGAACAGCCAGAATGCTCCTTAGAAGCAAGGATGGCGAGACTACGTGTCACAGACTTTGGACATGTTATCCAGAGGGATCAGTCCCTGGAGAAGGACATCATGCTTGGTAAAGTAGAGGGTCAGCGGAAAAAGCGGAAGATCCTCAAAGAGATGGATTGAGACAGTGGCAGCAAACATGGGCTCAAACATAACGATTGTGAAAATGGGGCAGGACCAGACAGTGTTTCTTTCTGTTGTACATAGGGTCGTTTTGAGTCAGAACCAACTCTGTGGCACCTAACAACATGAACATAACTGCTTCTCTTGGAAACCATGGAAAATATCTACAGTGTAAAACAGAAACAAATCATCTTTCATTCCAAATCCAATGATGAACCACTGCTAAAATAATTTGACACGTTTCTTCCCAGATTTTTTCTACGTATATATAGTACATAAGTGGGACTGCTATATATATATATATTTACAGACTTGGGGCCCTGGTGGTGCAGTGGTTAAGCGTTTGGCTGCTAGCCAAAGAGTCGGAGTTGGAATCCACCAGCCACTCCTTGGAAACCCTTGGGGCAGTTCTACTCTGTCCTAAAGGGTCGCTATGAGTCGGAATCGAGTGGACAGCAACGGTTATGGTATACACAGACTTACATCTTGCTTCTTTCTCTTGATATATTATGAACACTTCTCAATGTCATTAAGAATTCCTTGAACACGTGACTTTTAAGTTGCTAAAATGTATTCAGCTACACGGATGTGAGACTCTGGTGGCCAGTGGTTAAGAGCTACGGTGAGCAAAAGCTGCTAACCAAAACGTTCACAGTTCGAATCCACCAGCCGCTCCTTGGAAATTCTGGTAATTTAAATATCTTTCTACCAATTTTTGGATATTTAAGGGCTTGTCAATTTATCACTAACATTTGCTGCATAATTTCTTGTCAGCTTTGTGGGGCCTCAAAGATAAACCAGGTAACGTGACTTGCTGCACCCCGGGTAGGTGCCCTGAGAATGGAACGTATTGTCTGTATCCGCTGTGTGCCCGGGCGCGGGTGCCTGCTTTAGGCGCGGGTTTCGTCTAAGTGCGCCTGACCTTCAAACCCTGGGACGCGGATCCCCCGAAGCTTCTGCTGGGACTAGCTGACAACCGCCAGGCAGACGCGAAGTGCTGGAGCCAGACGCCTCCACGTGCCCAGCGCAGGGCCCCGCCCCTCCCGCTGCCGCCACGCCCCTCATTCACTCGGAACTCGGGTCCTTCCTGTCCCGCAGCTCCTTCTCCAGGCGACCTCCGCAAGTTCTCCTTCCCCCAGAATAGCCCCGCCCCCGGGCCGCGAGCCCCACCCCCACAATCCGGGCCCCCGGCTGCTCCCGCCCCGCGGGCCGCTCTGGAGGCGCGGGGGGCGGGCCCTACGCGATGACGTGAACGGGCGTGCGCGGTGACGGCTCGCGTCCCTGTTACTCAGCGGAGCGGTGGCAGCTGGACTAGGCGGCCAGGTTGCGGAGCCGCGGGCAGCTCTGGGTAACGGCCACTGCCGCTACCGGGACGGCGCCGGTCCCCACCGGCGGGCTCCCTTGTCCTCGTTCGCTCCGCTGCCGGGTGAGTGCGACGAGCGTCCCGGGCCGGGGTGGCCGGGCGGCCGGACCGCCCTGCCGTGTTTGTGTTATTGTGCAGCCGCCGCGCCGCCTTCTCCTCAGCCGTGACCCCCTCCCGGGAGTGGGGGCGGGAGCGCGCAGGCGGGGGGCGCGGTGGGGGCGGTGCGGGAACAATAGCGGCCGGGAGGCGGGGGCGGGCCAGGGGGCGTGGGGCGCGGCGGGCCCGAGCCTTGCCCCTACCCCGGCCACGGTTCTGAGCCTGGCCCGCCCGCCCGCCAGCCCGCGCGCGCCCTCTTCGCGCGAGTCCCGCTTCCACGTCTGGAGGTGAAAATGGAGCGGGCAGTGGGTGGCAAGTTCTGAAACACTTCGGGGAAGGTCGGACGGAGGCGCTTCCCAGGCCCGCCGTACACCGGCTGCCTTCCCTGCCGTGGGGGCCGGGGAGAGCGCTTCTGTCGCCGGGTTCCGGCGCCCACGGGGACTGTGTTTTTGTTTTTCGGTGATTTCTTTGTGCTAACGTTCTGGGCGAACGCAGGCAGCAGCGCAGAAAAGGCCTCCACCTCTGGTTGCGAGGCAGGGTCGGGCTCATAGCTTGGGCGGGAGGTGGTCTCATTAAGACGAGCATGAGCTTCAGGGGTCATCGCGCATTTCTCTTGAGGGTCACTCCGTGGTGACCTTTTGACTTTTCACCCCACCTTCTCGTCTCTTTGTCTCGCAGCTGTGTTCCCGATTCGTAGCTGGTAGGGCCAAGTCCATTTTAAAGTACTCCGATGGGCACTTTTCATTTTAATTTCTAAAAATTCCACATCAGATCTGTACAGTGGATTTAATAACGTGTTGACTGTATGGTATCCGACAATATCCAGTGGTTACTATTTTTACCTCTGAAATTCAGTAATATTTCAAGTAGACTTCTGGACTGCCAGTCCATTGTGTTTTGAAATAAGCGTCCAGCAAGCACCTCCTTGGCAATTGGAACATGTTTATTTCATTCATTCATTCAACTGCTCTTAGGCACTGTAAACAGATTTGTTGGAAGGTAAAGGGAAATCTGTAAGTGATATATGTTAAAGAAGATAAAGAGTCATACTCTAGGTATTTTTACTTTTTGTTTTAGAAGTACATCTGGAACTTCTAATGTAAATATATATTAGGAAGTAGAGGTAGATTTGCTATAAGTCTATAACAGATTTTATTTCGCCTTTTGTCTTTTCCAGTATTACAGTAGTTTGTAATGGTTACCTCAGATTCCCCTGTTCTGGTTTAAGCCTAGGAGGTCGGATTGTGTAAGTGGAGATGCTTAGTGTTGTCCCTAAGCAAGGAAAGTCTTGCATGTGTCGTCAGAACCTAGCCTGGATTATAGTAAGTGCTGAATAAAAGACAGATTGATGAAAAGCTCTTTATAATTGGTAATGTTTAAAAGCAAGCCTTAAAAAAAAAAAGGAAAACTTTTAATGTTCTCCGTAAAGTTCCGGAGGCCTCATGCAAACTGTCACTTCCAGATGTCTAATTGATCAGCTCATTTTCATTGTCTGTCATGGTAGTAGAGGCTTTTGAATCACTTCAGTATCAATTTTTTTTCTATCACTTCTAGGCCATTCACTATCCTAAAATAAACCTTGTCAAAAATAAGATTTTTCAGTATGATTAATAAAGTAGGTAGATTGTGTTTTATGTGTATATGTGTGTGTTTGTGTGCAACACATCCTTTTGTGAATATTATTTGAAGGATTTCTGGTGACTCTTTTAAATGGAAAAGCTAGGACAGAAGAAACAAGCTGCATAAATATTTTATTAGAAATACCTAATTTCTAATAAAATTTTATAAATGTGTATTAGAAATATTTAATTTTAAATTCCTTGTCCTTACACTATTGACAAAACATATGACTCCCTGTCTCTTTCCCACTAACTAAATAAATTCTAGCATTGTTTTGGATATGAAAGTTTTGAAATGAACTTGCTTTTATTATCTGATATAGAGTAGAAATGACAAAATTAGAAAATGATACTTTATTAAGATAAAAGGTGAAAACCTTGAGATACATTTACTGCTTTACCTAGTTCAGATATGTCAGATTCCCGAAAGGGTTACTTGAGATACAAACGTTTACTGCTTTACCTAGTTAAGAAAATGTCAGATTCCAATACAGGTTACTGATAAAAATCCTTTGGCAATAGCTCACAGTCCGCCTACATTCAGAATGAAAGTTTTGTCTTGTTTTTTTAAATTCTGTTGTTGTTTTTTTCAATAACAGCTTTTTTGAGATATAGTTCTCCCATACCAGAAAATTCACTCTTTTAGAGTGTACAATTTAGTGGTTTTTTAGTATATTCACTGAGTTGAGAATTGATCACCACTGTTTAATTCCAGAGCATTTTCATCACTCTAAGAAGTAACCCCATACCCATTAGCAGTCATTGTCCATGCCCCTCCAAATGCTGTCTTAAAGGAAGAGATGGCACTGATTCTGTTAGTAGGTATATTCCATTGATGGGTTTGAAAAGGACTCCCTTTAAGCATCCTGGCAGATTAGGAAGCTTTATTCCTTGTATTCCTTTATGTCCTGGGGAAAATGCCACTTGCAAAGAACATAAGGCTAAGAATAAATTATACCAAAATTAAAGAGATTAGAATTTTAAACTATTTGCTTAATACCTAATATTATGGAAATGACCTTGTGAGGATACCCAGTGCGCAGTGAAACAACTTGAAGTAATTTGTTGTTAAATGACTAGTCACAAACTATGCTGGTGGTAATTAAGAGTGAATACAAGCCTGATTCTTGTTAGTCTGCTTTGCCAGTGAGTTGAGTTTTGACATATTTGAGTCATCCACAAAGTCGAGATGCTTTGTTGCACATGTAGAAGTATAAAATAATGTCTGACCGTTAAGATGCCAGCTCTCTAGGGATCTCCGATCAAGAATGGTATAGGTAGTAGCCTTTCTGATTCAATAGTGCGAGGAAGTCATTATAACCACATAGCTGTAGATATGAATCGTTTACCTATTTCAGCCAGCTGTGATGCTTATTGTCTTAGTCATGAGCTCTTACCTGAACATTTAGAAGCTTTGTGTTTTTGCTTTAATGCAGCTTAACTTGAACTTTGATTTTAGAGATGAATTCTGATTCGACAGAATTTACAACCTAAAAGGTGGCCACCCAAACCCAAACCTGTAGCGTTGAGTCGATTCCGACTCATGGAGTCCCATGTACTGTATTACAGAGTGGAACTGCTCCATAGGGTTATCTTGGCTGTAATCTTTATGGAAGCAGTTCTCCAGGCCTTTCTTCTGTGGAGCTGCTGGGTGGGTTTAGGAATATCGAAATAAGAGTCGTCCTATCATTCAGGGTAGTAGATGGAATTAGAATAGCCTAGGAATCAGACGTAAGTTCACATCTCAGTTCTGTCATCTGTACTTTGTCATCAACAAGCTCTGGAGCCCTGGGCAAATTGCTTAACCTTTCTGGCTTTAGAACTGAAAATTGAGGCTGTTGGAAAGCTTCCTTATGGAAGGGTTGTTCCCCAGATTGGTGGTTCTTCAGAAAACATACTGGGACAAAAAGAGTTTATGGTGATAATCTGAACCCCATGCCAAGAACAGCAATGAAAGTTAGACTTTTCAAATTTTAAGAAGCAGAGAAAATTGTTAAGTTGGATATTTTGATAGTATCCAGACTTATACAACAAATAAAAAAGCTTCACCTTAAGCTAGAGTTTCTTTGAATGGTAGATTTTATTCATTCCATAGCACCATGCTTTTTATAATTAGACTAGGTGCTCTTAGAGGCTTTGCAGAATATCTGAAAATAAATAGTTCATTAGCCTCAAGGAGTTTATGATCTGGGATGGGATTTAGGCATATCTAAACAGTGAATTTATGCTCATTTAAAAGGTATATGAGAAGGCTTCCTCCAAACAAACAACAATTTACCACAAATATCTGGGCAAGCCAACTTTCACCTGAAATCCAGTTTTTAAAATTTTGTGTGTGTGTGTGTGTGTGTGTGTGTGTGTGTGTGTATGCATGTATGTGTAAGGCCTTTTGGAAAACATATTAGCTGCCATTCTTTTTCAAAGTGGTGGGCTATATCACATATATAGCAGATGTCTGTGTCTCCTGTTAACCTTTAGTAGTACATCAGAATTGGCTAAAATCTGTCAGTTCTTTAGAAAGTCAAGGAGCCTAAACATCATGGTGGTTGCTAGCATGGGCTTTAAGGTCAGCCCTGAGTTCCAGTTGATGCTCTAGATCTGACTAACTATGTGGACTAGGCTAGTTCAAGTTATGTAACATCTTTGGGCCTTTGTTATTATTTGTAAAATGAGAATAACAAAAACACATAATCTCATGGACCTGTGAGGTTTAAATAAGGTACTGCATATAAAGTGCCTGGCACTGGTACAGTGCCTGGAACAGTACATGTAAGTGTTCAGGAAATGTTAGCTATTGTTACCGCTTACTGCTTTTAACTTAGAACAAATGCAAAATGTCAACTAGATTTAAAACCAGTTTCACGTGCAGTGTATATTCAAATTCTCCAAAGTACACCTGTTGTTTTGCTGTACATCTCTGGGTAGTTTATTTAAAATTTGATCATCTCAGCTAATCTGAATAGACTGAGATGATTTATGTTAACATTTGGACCAGTAATCCCCTCTGCCGTAATATTTGGGAATGTTCCAAAAGCAAATATCAAAGGGAAAGTATTTGCCATATTCTCTGATCACAAAGTTGTTTTACCATTTTTGCCTTTCCCACAGTAGCGAATTGCCTGAACTTATCTAGGTTTATTTTAACCAAAATCTAAATGAATGAGGAGAATCGAGGAGCTGGACGTAGCTTTATCATTTGCTATACTTGAAGAATATGGAATGCTGTTGCTTCTTTTAAATTTAATCTTACTGACATCTTTGACTGTGTGAAGACTGCAAATTTGTCAGAAACCTGGTGTGATGGTTAAGGTTGTGTATCAGCTTGGGTGGGCCATGATTCTCAGTGCC